CCCCCCCCCCCCCACCTCCCGCAGCTCAGACCACCAGTGAAGACCGGGAGACAGGGAACAGTGTACAAGAGTTTATTTAATTGATATCTGCATTTAGTTCTATCATGTGGGGCCCACGTTACAAGTTCCATCTGGGTCCATTACAACTCTAAACAAACAAAAAAACTTTAAAAAATCCACAACTTTTTCCATGTCATTAAATATATTCATATATAATAACCATAATATATTAGTATGCATTGGAAAGGAGCACTGACCCAATGTCATGGTCACCACTAAACATTTACCATTCTGAGTGAACAGAATTCTGGAACGCAGGGGGAGGGGGCTAGTGCACCTGGGGGTGGGGATGGCGAATGAGGAGTGGGCTGGCTGGGGGGCAGAGGCGAGGCCTCAGAGTACACACTGTGACGCCCCTGGGGTATGGCATGTCTGTGGCTGTGAACCGTGGCCCAGGAACCCCACCGGTGAGTCTAGTTGGTCTATTCTCAGTCTCCCTCGTGGGGTGTGAGAGGAGCGCTTCCTTTGAGCATTGAGGTCCCAATGTTTTTCAGTTTCCTGGAGGGATCATTTCCTGATCGCTCAGAATCTTCTCGATTTCGTTCTCATTCCAAACTGGGGCCAACCCAAGAAAGTCGATACCCATTTCCTGCGCGCTACTGTGGAGGCGGAATTCCAGGTCACTGGGGGCCTGGGGCAGCTCACAGCCTCCTGCCCATTTCCCAGGACCTGGCGGGGCTGCCTCCCGCCCTGCTCGGGACAGAAGCAGGGCTGCAGGTGAGTCCGGGCAGCCCGTGTCCCCCTCCCTCCACCCCATCCTCTTTACTGCACTCAGTAAGGCAGCCACTCCGCTGTCAGGGGCTCCAGACCACCCAGCAGGTAAGAAAAAGGACAAGTGGGGAATCTTTTAAAACAAAAAAAGGACTAATCTGGTGTTTTTCTTCAAATACCTACATATCACAATTCTGGTTAATACACTCTTCAGAATCAAAATCTAGTTCATTTTACATCCCTTCCTAACTGTACAAACGGGCACACCTCAGTTCCTATTCATCTCCTCGTGGAAGAGGTGCTTCCTCAGGGAGGGGTCCTCGCCGCTGAAGCTGGGGGCTGGGTTCCGGCAGGGTCAGTGAGGTGCGGAGGCCTGTGGTGACAAATCCGGCCGCCCTGACACGTGGCCCAGGGGCCAGGCTGCTGGGTGGATTGGGTGGCCTGTGCCCTCAGGGGCAGAGCAGGAGGGTGAGGCTGGTTGAGTTTAAAGCAAGATGTATTACTGCCTGGCAGGCTGCTGGCTCCAGACCTAGGGGCCTCGGAGACCACCCGTGCTGGCCCTCGGATGGACCTGGGTGACTCAGACCCAGGGTGGGAGGTGGCGGGGCTGCCACACCCCTCTGGACAGGCAGGCAGAGAAGCCAGACCGGTGTAAACAGAACAGGACCAGCCCAAGCAGTGAGTGCCTTTACAGGACTGTGGGCCAGCAAAACGCCAAGGCCTGCGAGGTGCGAATGGCACTCGGCAAACGGCGCTGGCGTCAGAGGGCTCACTGCTAGGAGAGCGGTCCCTATGCTCCCGTCTTGGGCCTGGAGTCAGGGAAGACAAATATCCCTCCCCAGGGCCATTCTGTCCTCTCCCCCACAGGGGCACCTCTGCCAGCCAGTCTCTCCTGGAATCCCTCCACACACACACCCCAAACCCACCCCCACCTCCCAGGCAGCCAAATGTCCTTTCTGCTGTGTCTTAGATCAGCCAAGGCCCCTTTCAGAGCCTTTAACCTACAAATTGTGTTTGTGCGCCTCACCCACCACCCCTGCTCCACCTCTGAAGCTGTCACTGCGCCCACCCCACACACTCCATTCGCCAGGTGCCACCAGGGCCAGTGTCTCCCTGGCGACCTCCCAGGAGCACCCCTCGCAGCTGCTGTGGGAGCTGGTGCGCAGCGGGCCAGGGCAGCAGGGCCGTGGTCAGCAAGCCTGGCCCTGTACTGCGAGTCCAGTTCTGCCGCCTTTCCTGGTGGCCTTGGGCACGTGCGTTTCCGTTTCCCCGCTGGTGAGATGGGCAAGGATCCCTGTCTCACGGGGCTGGGGGGTAAAGTGCCAGGCACAGGACAGGTGCTCGCTACACGTCAGCCCGGACGCGGGCCGGACCACAGGGCACCTTCACACTCAGTGTGACCCTTCTGAGCAGGCAAACTCGAAGGAGAGTGAAGCCAGTGTCCTGAGTGAGGAGGAAGCCAGGCCGCTAACTCTGCGCCAGGTGCCGAGAGCTCAGGAAGGGAGACCGTGGGCCCCGGGCATAGGAACAGGCCCTGTGGGGGCTGCCTGCTTGAAGGCAGTGTCTCTGAGCTTTGGAAAGGGGAGAGCACAAAGGGGACAGCCGGGAAGGGCAGGCAAGGCTCTGCCTGGGGTAGACCAAGACAGGTGCAGGCAGCTGGGCAGCTGTAGTGGGCTTTCTCGGCCCAGCAGCCGCTGCCCCTTGGAGCCAGGAGTGAGGGCAGCAGCAGGAAGTGGTCATGGTTTCCGTGGTTCCCCGAACCTGGTCATTCCTGGCCTTGCCTGCCCATGGCGCGGGCATACTGTGCCCTGCTGAGCCAACAGACCCGGTCCTGACTCAGCCAGCCCCTTCCCCCAGCCGGGTTCACCGCCTTTGCAGCCTGCATTCCATACCCATCCAGGCCCTTCCCAGCTGCAAACACTGCTGAGGGGCCTGGTGGGAGCTGATGTCATTACACAAATAGTGTCACTGCCATAAACCCAGCCCGAGCCCGTCCCCTCCCCTGGAAAATGTCATAAAGGGGCTGGTTCCAAGTTTCCAAAGAGGAAACTCCCTGGGAGGTTGTGCCTTCCCCGTGCCTCCTCCGGCAGGCAGCTCAGTGAGGCATGACCACCCGGCTTGAGCTTCTCAGGGGTGTCTTTCGGTCCACCGCCCTCTGCCTGGGCCAGAATCCTGGGCTGCACCTAAACCCGGGGGGGCGGGGGGGGGTTGGGGCCAGCAAGAGCTCCTGCTTCACCCCACCCAGGAGGACCAGTGCAGCAGGTGGTAACGGACCACCGCCTGCATGGGGAACCCTGCTGCCCCCAAATGCCTGGCCCAAGCTGTCCCAACCAGGGGGTCCTGTGACAAAGGAGGGTCAGGGAAAAGGGAGGGATTTTCAGTCTTTTACGTTTGGGTGATGGTTTGGCCGGGCTCGCTCAGCCCCTGGCCCAACTGGGGGCCTGAGAATTCACAGTTCTCCTCCTCACGTCCCCTTCTCCGTAACCGTACGCCAGCCGCAGGTGCGGCTCCACCTGCGCGTTCCGCGTTCCGTGTCAGGC